GTTATATTTCATACATTATTAAAGTGTCTCATATTTAACTTGGTCTTATTTGCTCATTAGTTTAAAAAGTTCTGTTAAAGTTAAACCATTTAAAACCATGTCATTCATGTAGTAATTCATGCTTTTTATAGGGCATATGAACACTAGCCATATAAATGGGCATTCTTGGGCTAAAAACCTTTGCACAGAAAAATGTTTAGATATTAATCTTCCTGGAAATCCAGCTGCTCGTTCAGGCTCAATAGGAAATGACTTCTTATCTGTAAGCTGTTTGAGCCTCAGTCTTACTGCCAGCAGAGTTTTGGCTTCAAGTTTAAACACCAAGTTTTATATTTAAATTAGTTTGTGCAGACTTTGGTAAGTGAGGTGGTTTTTAAATGTGCTGAATGAATCAACTTTGACCCAACTACTTTCTAGTCTTTAAAATGGGATTACATAGTCCTACACGCCTGGAGAGATTGCTTCTGTAAAATAAATCTATTCTGACTGAAGTTTTGGGTGAATTTACATAACATTGTATGACAACTCGGATCACATCAGACAGGAAGTGATCAATTACTTCATTTAGATGAACATTAAAAATGTTTGGTTTAATTTTACGTTTAATATTTGTGTATTTTGAGTGACGCCTTCAAACACTAAAACTTCACCGTGACAGAAATGACAAAGCTGCTTTGTTTGTCATTTCCTGCCGTCTGACTTCAAATAAACTGCTTTACAGTCGACTACAACTCAGCTCCTCTGGACGGATTCTTCTTTGTTGAAACGTTTCGTCTTGTATAGAAAGGCTTCAGCCTGAGGAGCTGCAACAAACTCGCTCTTCTAAGGGTGCATTCACACCAGCCCTGTTTAGTCCACTTTAATCCAACTCTAGCTCGTTTTCCTAGAAAGTCCGGTTCGTTTAGGGAGGTGTGAACGCACCATCAAACTCTGTCACGGAACAAAAAGGAGAACTCTGGCCCGGGCTAAAACCTAGGTCTGGGTCTGGTAGAAGAGAACTCCAGCGCGGTTCGAGTGCAGTGTGAATGTAAACAGACCAAGCCCCGCTCCACAAGCAAGAAGTGGAGTACAGCGCAGGACAAACAAACACACATTTCTCTGACCTCATCTAGAGCCGTCAGTTGTCTTGTGTGGAAAACAATATTCTCCATGGTCTTCTGTCTCATCTTCTGCTCATGCTAAGTCCATTTTTGAAAAATGACAAAATATAACTCCTAAACTGTTAAAACTTGATGCCACTTTGTTTTTATTTTTATTTCCAGAAGAAGAAGTGTCTTAAGAGGTTTTTGTGTCATTTCTTTCCGTAGTTCTTGGTGCAGCGCCCCCACAGGCGAGCGGGGGAACAGGTTGGTTCAACAGGTTGACTCGACTGCACAGTGCAGTGTGAATGCAAACGCACCAGCTCAAATGTAACAAAAGGTCATGAATATTGGTCCCCAACCGAACCGAGTCTACCGGACTATCAGGTGTGAATGCACCCTAGATATCACCTTCTCATAGTGGATCTACCAGTTTGATGGGGACAGCCAAAACCAGCTGTTCACATGATCAAGAAGGACCATCATCATGGATCATTGGCACCCTGATGGCCGCTTGTTATTCACAGAGGACTGAGTGATACTAGCAGTAATAGCATTGTAAAGCCCCCAGTATACTGCCGCGTACGTCCATACGCAGAGGTACGCACGTACGTACGCAGAGGTACGTGCGTACCCCCAGGGCATGTCCGTGCAAAGCTCAATTTTTACGACTGCATACAAGTACGCGGTGTCGCACAATAAACTGCCCAGCGACGGACTGTTTTGTATGCGACACCAATGTATTAAATTCCTTCTTCATCCCTGATCTGGCCTTTTCTTTTGTTTTTTTGCCAAGAGGCAGTGATCTCTTCCTCCTCCGTTGATGTCATGACTGAAATGGTGAGAAATGGAGGAATTTGTCACGAGCAAATTAAACTCAGGTCCAGCGTGGCTGCGGGAGGGTCTGGAGAGTTCCTGGTGGGCTGGTCTGATGTGTGGGCTGTAGAGCCAGCGCTCCCTGTTTTTTTATTTTTTAGAACTTTTTATTAACAACATATAAACACAGAACACCGCTGCGGCGGAGGCTGCCAGCGCTCGCTTTTTTTATTTTTTCCGACCTATCAATCAATCCAGTAGGCGTGTCAGCAAGTGACCAATCGGCAACCTCAATTTGTCCCCAAGGTAAACGCCCCTTGTCTGTGAAGCTGCTCTGCAGCTGCTCGGGGTGTACGCTGGAGTATGAAGTCTGAACCCTCTGCGTACAGTACACGCATACGTACACGTGAACGGACATACATGGCAGTATACTGGAGCCTTAAGACGAGGACAGTTGAACACTGAGGCCTCTACTCCTGTTTAATGATGGACGGGTGCTCTTGACAATGATGGCCTCCTTCACTCATCTCTCAAACCATCGTTCCTCTCTATCCAGGATGTGAACATCTTGTATGTACACCCATTATTCACTGGTTAACTGGACATCATTAACTTCACACAGAGTCTCTCACTGGTACATTTTCATCTTTAAATCACTTCTTGGTCTGCTGCCTTCATACATCTCCTCCTACATGTCTCTGCGTGAGTGCAGCTACAGCGTGCGCTCTCAGGACATTATTACCTGCAGTGTTCCCTCAATGCGAACTGAATTAGACAAAAGGACCTTCTCCTACTCCGCTCCTGTTTCCTGGAACATCTTGACCTCTCCAAGTGGCTTCAACATCTGTTACGTTCCTGGAAAAACCAGTGCAGACATGTTCCTGTTTTTAGTTTTTTAATCGCCTTACAACCTAGCTGTTTTTTTGTTTCTATATACAAACTGGATTCCAAAAAAGTTGGAACACTAAAATTGTGAATAAAAACTGAATGCAATGATGTGGAGATGGCAAATGTCAATATTTTATTCGTAATATAACATAGATGACAGATCAAAAGTTTAATCTGAGTAAATGTAACATTTTAAAGGAAAAATATGTTGATTCAAAATTTCAGTGTCAACAAATCCCAAAAAAGTTGGGACAAGTAGAAAAAAGTGGCTGGAAAAAGGAAATTGAGCATATAACGAACAGCTGGAAGACCAATTAACACTAATTAGGTCAATTGACAACATGATTGGGTATAAAAAGAGCTTCTCAGAGTGTCAGTGTCTCTCAGAAGCCAAGATGGTAAGAGGATCACCAATTCCACCATTGTTGCGCAGAAAGATAGTGCAGCAATACCAGAATGGTGTTACCCAGCGTAAAATAGCAAAGATTTTTAAGTTATCATCATCAACCGTGCATAACATCATCAAAAGAGTCAGAGAATCTGGAACAATCGCTGTGCGTAAGGGTCAAGGTCGTAAAACTCTACTGGATGCTCGTGATCTCCGGACCCTTAAACGTCACTGCACCTCAAACAGGAATGCCACTGTCAAGGAAATAACAGAATGGGCTCAGGAATACTTCCAGAAAGCATTGTCAGTGAACACAATCCACCGTGCCATCTGCCGTTGCCAGCTGAAACTCTACAGTGCAAAGAGGAAGCCATTTCTAAGCAAGCTCTACAAGCTCAGACATTTGCACTGGGCCAGGGGTCATTTAAAATGGAGTGTGGCAAAATGGAAGACTGTTCTGTGGTCAGATGAGTCACGATTTGAAGTTCTTTATGGAACACTGGGACGCCATGTCATCCAGACCAGAGAGGACAAGGATAGCCCAAGTTGTTATCAACGCTCCGTTCAGACGCCTGCATCACTGATGGTATGGGGTTGCATGAGTATTTGTGGGAGGGCAGCTTGCATGTCTGGAAAGGCACCATTAATGCAGAGAACTATGTTCAGGTTCTAGAACAACATATGCTCCCATCTAGACGTCATCTCTTTCAGGGAAGACCCTGCATTTTTCAACACGATAATGCCAGACCACATTCTGCAGCAATCACAACATCATGGCTACGTAGGAGAAGGATCCGGGTACTGAAATGGCCAGCCTGCAGTCCAGATCTTTCACCTATAGAGAACATTTGGCGCATCATAAAGAGGAAGGTGCGACAAAGGCCCAAGACGATTGAACAGTTAGAGGCCTGTATTAGACATGAATGGGAGAGCATTCCTATTTCTAAACTGGAGAAACTGGTCTCCTCTGTCCCCAGACGTCTGTTGAGTGTTGTAAGAAGAAGGGGGGATGCCACACAGTGGTAAAAATGGACTTGTCCCAACTTTTTTGGGATTTGTTGACGTCATGAAATTTGGAAACAACAGATTTTTCCCTTAAAATGATACATTCTCTCAGTTTAAACTTTTGATCTGTGATTTGTGTTCTATTCTGAATAAAATATTAGATGTTGGCACCTCCACATCATTGCATTCAATTTTTATTCACAATTTGTTTAGTGTCCCAACTTTTTTGGAATCCGGTTTGTACATTTCATTTTATATGCTTGTTTATGATTGTCCATTGTTGTCATCACTCTTTCTTAAATCAGGTCTCTCTCGAGTCCTCGAGGCTCAATGAGACTAACCTGTAGAAATAAAGGTTGAATTGAATCTTCATCCCTGAAAGAGTGACCTCTGACCTGGAGATGAGTGTAGACCGCAGAGTCCTGGCCTGATGATGTTGATCTTCTGTGCTGGTCCATCCTTTTGGCCAGTGGCTGTTTAGTTTCCCTGACTAATTAAATATGTTTGTTTTTGTTTTTAGACCTGCTGGAGCTTTCTGTTGTGATCATTTTGTTTGATTGACATCTGTTGACAACACGTTAAAATAAGTTATGGTCACAGTGTGTTAAACTTTAGTTTTTAAATTGTATACGGTAACTTTACAGCAATAGTTTTAAGTCTTCACATGTTGTTCAGGTTTACTGCTAAAGACAAATGTAGATGACCTAAAACGATTGTCCTGAGGTTTTTGACTTTATATTTTACAACTAATCCAACAAACATTTTACGTTACATTCTGTAAATGTACTTTAACACTCATTGGAATTTGTTGTTTTTTGTTTCAGTGTTTCACTGGCAAGCCACAATAATGGGACCTGTAAGTACTGACGAGATCAGATGTTGAATTTGATCTTTTTCTTTGAGTTTTTCATTGACTCTTAAATCAGAGTTTCACATTTTACCTGTAAAACCTCAGTTATTTAAGGTAAAGGTTTTCCTTGTTTTAGTTGAGAAGGATCAACTTTTAGCAGCTAAAAGTTTTTGTTTACTTCGCACACACACACCCCAGTTTACTGTTGTACTGAGCCTGTGCTTGTTTCTGTGCTCTAGAACGACAGTCCTTACCAGAGCGGGGTTTTCTTCTTGACCATACACTTCCCAACAGATTACCCCTTCAAACCTCCAAAGGTAAGACATACAGTGAGGAAAACAAGTATTTGAACACCTGTGACTTTGAAAGTTCTCCCACTTAGAAATCATGGAGGGTCTGAAATGTTCATCTTGGGTGCATGTCCACTGTCAGAGACATAGTGTAAAAAAAAAATCACAATGTATGATTGTTTAATAATTTATTTGTGTGTTATTGCTGCAAATAAGTATTTGAACACCTGTGAAATCAATGTTAATATTTGGACCAGTAGTCTTTGTTTGCAGTTACAGAGGTCAAAGGTTTCCTGTAGTTCTTCACCAGGTTCACTGCAGCAGAGATTCTGGTCCAGTCCTCCACACAGATCTTCTCTAGATCACCAGGTTTCTGGGCTGTCACTGAGAAACACGGAGTTTGAGCTCCCTCCAAAGATTTTCTACAGGGTTCAGGTCTGGAGACTGGCTGGTCTACTCCAGAACCTTGATCTGCTTCTTACAGAGCCACTCCTTGGTTCTCCTGGCTGTGAGCTTCAGGTCATTGTCATGTTGGAAGACTCAGCCATGACCCATCTTCAATGCTCTAACTGAGGGAAGGAGGTTGTTCCCCAAAATCTCTCACTACATGGCCCCGGTCATCCTCTCCTTAATACAGTGCAGTCGTCCTGTCCCATGTGCAGAAAAACACCCCCAGAGCATGATGCTTCCACCCCCATGCTTCACAGTAGGGATGGTGTTTTTGGGATGGTGCTCATCGTTCTTCGTCCTCCAAACACGGTGAGTGGAATTAAGACCAAAAAGTTCTATTCTGGTCTCATCTGACCTCAGAACTTTCTCCCATGACTCCTCTGGATCATCAAATGGTCATGGACAAACTTCAGACGGGCCTGGACGTGCGCTGGTTTAATCAGGGGAACCTTCGTGCCATGCATGATTTAAACTATGACGTCTTAGTGTATTACCCACAGTAACCTTGGAAACAGTGGTGCCAGCTCTCTTCAGGTCATGGACCAGCTCCTCCGTGTAGTTCTGGGCTGATTCCTCACCTTTCTTAGGATCAGTGATACGCCACCAGGTGAGATCTTGCATGGAGCCCCGGTCCCAGAGAGATTGACAGTCATGTTTAGCTTCTTCCATTTTCTAATAGTTGATCCAACAGTTGATCTTTTTTCACCAAGCTGCTTGGCAGTTGCCCCGTAGACCTTTCCAGCCTTGTGGAGGTCTACAATGTTGTCTCTGGTGTCTTTGGACAGCTCTTTGGTCTTAGCCATGTTAGTAGTTGGAGTCTTACTGATTGTGTGGGGTGGACAGGTGTCTTTATGCAGCTACCGACCTCAAACAGCTGCTTCTGATTTAGAATAATCAGTGGAGTGGAGGTGGACTAACGGGTCTTTGAGGACCAGAATTGTTGCTGATTGACCGGTGTTCAAATACTTATTTGCAGCACTCACACACAGATAAATTATTTAAACAATCATACATTGTGATTTCTGGATATTTTTTTTTTTACATTGTCTCTCACAGTGGACATGCAGCTAAGGTGAAAATTTCAGACCCTCCATGATTTCTAAGTGGGAGAACTTGCAAAGTTGCACATGTTCAAATACTTGTTCGCTCATACAGTGAGGAAATTAACATGTTAGAAACAACGAGTATCTGAGAGACACATCAAGTTCCTCTGGCCTGTTCAAACATGTCGCCGTTTCTTTTCCTTCACTTTCCTGTTGTGCTGCAGTTTGCCCCCAATCACCCACTTTGATGTTTTTTCCTCTGCTTTCAGGTTGCATTTACCACAAGAATCTACCATCCAAACATCAACAGCAACGGCAGCATTTGTCTTGACATTCTGCGATCACAGTGGTCTCCAGCTCTCACCATCTCCAAAGGTGAGCCGACCTCCAGACGACAGGCATGGACTGTTCTTTAGAGAACATTTAGGACGTTTCCTTCATTAGTACTGAGCCGTACCATTCCCTTCACTCCTGTAAGATCAAACGACATGTATTAGTTTCATCTTAACCTTTGTGCACGGTCCTTTCCAGTTCTCCTGTCTATCTGCTCCCTGCTGTGTGACCCGAACCCGGACGACCCCTTAGTACCCGAGATCGCCCGCATCTACAAGACTGACAGGGAAAAGTAAGTTGGCTTTGTAATGATTTTCTTCCGTATGTCGCAGTTAGAAGCTGCATGCTGTCATCATGGCTGACATGAGTGGAGCTGGACTGAGGCCTCCTCGTCGCAGAGCGAAAAGTGGAAATTGTAAATGGCCTCTGTCTGTGAACGTTGTGAGGAACCAACTTCCATTTTGGTGTTTAGCTGCATCTAGGTCTAAGGAAAGTTCCTTTCAAAAATTGGGTTGCAACGTCAAAATCCAAGATGGCTGCCACATATACATTCAGAACAAAAATGTAAACAACACTTTTGTTTTGCTCCCAGCTGAACTCAAAGATCCAAGACTTTTTCTATGTACACATCAAGCCTTTTCTCTCAAATATTAGACAGACAGACGCTTTAGATACTTTGGATGGATGGATGGATGGATGGATGGATGGATGGATGGGTGGATGGATGGGTGGATGGATGGATGGATGGATGGATGGATGGATGGATGGATGGATGGAGGGAGGGCGGGCGGGCGAATCTCTTGTGTCTGGCGATCCGATTCCGATTTTTGGTGTCACGATACGATTCAAAATCAATTTTTCTTTTTTTTAATTCAGAAACTATTTTTCTATTGACATGGTCATAAATTTAGTTTCAATTATAATGTATATGTAACTGACAAGCTGAAAAGATTAAACAACAATGTAAATAGAACATTTATTTAAAACAATCATTTTAGGTTCCTTACTGTATCAAATACTTTTTGCATTATTTTATATTTATACCAAAAATAGGAACAAATACAGGAGTGCATAAAATTCTGTAACTTAAATTACCAGTAATAGGTTAGCTTAGTTGCCTGAGTTTTTTTCTAAAAAATAAATAAATAAATAAAAATAATAGGAACAAATAATTCTTCCATCCATCATCTTCATCCACTTCTTCCTTTTCGAGTCACTGGTATCACTGGTGCCCATATCAGCCATCACTGTGTGAGAGGCGGGGGACACCTGGACAGGTCTCCAGTCCATTAAAGACAAATAATTCAAAATATATAAATATCAAAGTAAACAGACTTCAGCCGACCATAGTATATTAACCTTTAACTCAACATAAAATACAGATTTCTCGGTTATTTTTAACCATATTGCTCTAACAAAAAAAACAAAAATAAAAATCTACATGAAGGAATAACGTACGTTGGATCCATCGTATTAAAATAAACCTGGACCCGTCACCTTCACTGAGCTGCCTGATCATAAATCCTTAGTGATGCAGCAGGAGATGGAGAGAGAACTCTTTGCAGTCTTTGGAGAAGCTGGAAGTTTGTTGCAGAGTTCACTGGTCGGCTGCTTCGCTTTCATCTTCCATAAATTTTGTCTTGTATCCAAAATACTGTACCACAATTTTATTTTACACTTCTTGTAAACAACCATGCTCTTGTTCAGCTCTGTCTTCCCTGGAGCATTGTAGGATCTGAAATTACTTTTAAAGATGAAGAGGCGTGTTGAATCGTGCTGTCTCCCTCCTACATGCTAGCAGGCTCCATTCAGATAAAGGGAGCTGGCTAACTAGCTGCTGTACGGTGGCCTACATGGCCAAAATTCTATGGCGGCCAAGCGGTGAGTAGGAGCGGAAAAAATATAAAACTTAAATGCATTTTAAAATCGATTTATGGACCTTTAGAAACTATTCAAAATCGCCAGGACTAAAAATCTAGATTCGTCGAAAAATCCATTTTTTTCTGCACCCCTAATGGATAGATACTTTAGATAGATGGATACTTTAGATAGATGGATACCTTAGATAGATGGATACTTTAGATAGATGGATAC